TTTTTTTTTTTTTTTTTTCCAACACAACATAGGTACCTTTATTATTTTATGCAATTCTGGATTTTCAAATAATATTGATGTGGTGCTTTATGATAATAATGCTAGCAAGACGTGTTGGATCCGCCAGAGGACTGCTTCCGTATCAGAATGGTTGTCACACTTCTCGATACATGTGGCCATTATTTTGATAGAGGTTCATCAAAGAGGAAGCTTGACCGGTTCTTGATTTATTTTCAAAGATACATACTGAGCAAAGTTGCCCTTCCCCTGGATATTGAATTTGATCTCCAGGTCGGTACTTTTATGTATTCCCCACGTTCTATTGCATTCAAATTGACACATACCCAAATCATATTCCGCAGATGCCGCAACAATGATTGCGCTTGCAAAAAAAAATATGGCCATTAAATTAAAGTATTTCATTGTAATGGTTGCGAGTCTGTATTAGAAAGGACTGCAAAATTGTGCATTGTGGCAATACATGATCAATTGCCTTGATCTGATTTGAATTTAATATGGCCTAGGGTTTCAGGTTGGATTGGTTCAAAACCTAAATTTATCCCACTGCAATATTCTTCCTGCATTACCCATCTTCCATTTGCCCTCTCTCACCTGAGCTTACAAATTGAAAATAATAGTAAAGTATAAAAATTTCAGGACTTATTTGTCGAACTGAGACCAAATATGACCCGGTACTCATCGTTTGAAGAGGTCAACAACGCCTTAATCGAGTTCGAGGAGCGTGAGCGCCGGGTCTTGACTGAAAGGGCTCACAAAGAGAAGGACACCACCAGTTCGGGCAACCTATCGATGAACGGGCAGAGTCCCGACAATGGCACGGAAGAGAACGGCCTCGGAGCTCATAGGGACGAAACGGAGAGCGACTCAGGGAGTGGAACCCCCGAGCGCATCGGCCGGGATGAAGAATCGGACCGTGAGAATCGGGATGAGAGTGAGGATGATTATGGGCCGGCGTCGGATGATGAAGAGGACGGGCAGGTGCGTGTCAGGCAGAAAGTTGCTGAGGTGGACCCAGAGGAGGCCGCTGATTTTGATAGAGAGCTGCGGGCCCTCATGCAGGCAAGTTTCTGGGTTTTTTTTTTTCTCTTTCTTTTCTGGTATTGTTATTTAATGGGCCGGTTGGTTGCGAGAACTATGCTTAGGGTTTTGGAATAATTAGGATAGAGAACCCGATTGTCTTCCAAAATTTACAAATATCCCATTGGGGAATGTCAAACACTTCTGAGGTTGGTTTGTTTGCAATTTATAAACTAGATGATATATCAAATGGGGTAATTGTTATTTAAAGATGGCTTTTTTTTTTTCCCGGAAGAGACTAACACTATACGTGAAGGGTACTTTCCTATTCCGCGTGTCCTTATTTATCTTGGAAAGATTAAGCAAAACAACCTGATTTTAGCTTTATTTTGAAGATGCTTTAGCTAATCTTTCAAGATTACACTATGACCCTCTTCAGTTTTGCTACCCTCGTCAGTTTTGCAAATTTAATATACTAGGAGTTATACTAAGTAAAAACTTCAAACCTCATGGGTATATGATAATTTTCTCTTTCCGTAAGAGTCAAATGTCAAGGGCAGCCCTTTAATCATCCCTATAATTTGAATATTCGTTACCTCAAAACGTCCCGTGCAGCAATGGCTACGACACTCCAAAATCCGAGTGACTAACCGCAAATCTCACGATCTGCGTTGTGCAGGAAAGTCTGGACTCGAGAAAACTGGAGCTACGCACACGCCCATCCATAAACATGATGATCCCGATGAACCTCTTTGAGGGCCCCACAAAGGAACACCACCAGCACCAGCACCACCACCACCACCACCATGGACGGGTGGCGTCGGAGGCAGAGAGTGGGGATGACACGGCAGACGAAGGCTCTGGCGAGGTGAAGGTGAAGGTGCTTGTGAAGCGCGGCAACAAGCAGCAGACGAGGCAGATGTACGTTCCGCGCGACTGCTCGCTCGTCCAGAGCACCAAGCAGAAGGAGGCTGCCGAGCTCGAGGAGAAGCAGGACATAAAGCGTCTCGTCCTGGAATACAACGACCGGGAAGAGGAGGAGCTGCTTCTCAACAGTGGTGGGGCCCAGCCGCCCAACTGGAACCAGGGAGGGGGGAGGATCGTGAGCAGGGGGCCCACGTGGGACGGTCACCACAGATCGTCTTCGGGGGGGCGCCACAGGCATCTGTACCACTCTGGAGCCGGGTATTACTACGGGAGGAGAAGGTGATTGATTCGTACTTGTTTATATAGGGTTTTGTGTCTTGTATTGAAGTATGGTGTGCATGCATATGCATATGGATAACCAGTTATGGCTAGGGGAAAGATTTCATGTATAACCTGTTTTTTGTGTGTGAAAAAAACTGGTAATCAATGGAGAATGGTGAATCAGTTGCTGGGGGATGTGTGTTGCTGTGGAAAATAGTGAAGGGCGTAAATGTTGAAGATGGAGTTCTTTCTTGTGTTTTCCGTTGGATTTTGGGGAAATTTGTAAGGATTGTGCAAAGATTATCCTTTCAGGTGCTTGTCGGATCGTCCTGTGTGTTCGTATAAAACCTAAATTTTTTCATGGAATCTGAATGTAGCTTAAAGTATGTAAATAAGAATGCATGTTCTTCTGACTCTGAATGTGCTCTGAAATGGTGCTTGGCAGCATATAAGGTTGCATGTT